ACAGAAGACAAGACCATCAGCTGAGACTGAGGATGGTGAAGAAGACAAGAGGGAAGGAAAGACAGAACAAAACCCCCCAGGAGAAGGGAAAGTGACTTCTTTCCCTAGTGATACCCTAAAAAGAAGGTCAGGCAGCTGGCCCATCCACCAACCAGGAGGGCTGGTGATAGCAGTGAGGCTGCAGACAACCCAGGCTCAGGCTCTGCCAGGGTCTAGCATGACACTCGAGTCAGGAAAGGGTGTTGAGAGTGTGCACAAGGGACTGGCTCTAACAGTGGCCCAGGAATTTAAACCACATAAGGAAGTAGAGCTATGAGGGAAAAGGGAGTAGGAGTCAAGGAAAAGTTACCAGGGTAAGTGGCGTGTTGAGTCTTTACACCAGAGAACTGTAGGCAATGGAGTGTCGGAAGGGAACTGGAAAAGGAGGTGGTAGCTAGAGAGAGGAATGCTTGCATGATCACATAAAAAATAAGTCACATCTGGACAGTGAGTCAAAAGAGAGAGGGCAAGGAGCATCCCAGGGTGTCACAAAGGCCCCAGGCAGGGACACCAGAATCACCACGAACACGAACACAGCAGGCTCAGAGTCAGAGGAAGGGTGAGGGTCAAGGAGCTGAAGTTCTCCAGAAAGGAGCAGAAATAGCCTGGGAGGTGAACAGAAGATGAGAAGAGGTCACAGACTGACGATGCAAGATTCAAAGTGGTGGACAGCATGGAAGAGAGCTGGAGGGCACCCATCCAGAGCCACCACATGGGATCTGCAGGAGAAGGAACCTGTGCTGAGGAGAGCCAGGCATCTGAGCAAGAAGGTGAAGGGTAGAGACAGGGGGGTTGTTGGTATGTTAACTCTGTTCCAAACAGCACAAGAATAAAGTTTTAGGAGCTGGAGGAAGATGGAAAATCCAGTCAGAAATGGGATATATAGAGACACGAGGACACAGAGTCAGGATGCAAGGAACCTGGGGATGCTGGCTCTTACACTATGCATCATGAGAAGGGCAGAAGGCACAGCAGGCCCAGGAGTCCTGATAGTCTCAAGGTACATAGCAGAGGGGAGCTGTGTGCTGAGGAATAGGAAGGGTAGGTGTCTTGCCAAGGTCAGGGTGAGTTACAGAGACATCTCTCTACACCTGCCATGATAACAGGGTCACAGCAGAGGGGCTGTCTTAGCCAAATGACAGAAGCTCTAGGGCCCCTCCTGCTCTAGGAACACACACAACTCCTTCTCCTCTTTTTTTTTTTTTAATTTTTTTGAACACTAGATAAAAATCTATAAATTCTGACCCTTTTCACTCCCTCTTCTTCAGTCAATTAGCCGACAATCCCAAGAACTGAAGACTTAATGCATCTGCACAGTGCCTGGTGCTCAAGATGTGCAGTAAACAGAAAAAGGAAGAGGAAGGAGCAGAGAACAGGACGACTCCTTCAGGCCACTGAGTAGTATGACAACATTGCACAGCTTTGCTTTATTTGATGGAACAGTAACATAACAAAAAATAAAACCTCCCAACAGCACTACACCTATAGCATCCATCAAGTGTCAAATAAGATAAATGCAGCAGTCACAATCAGGCACCCCACCATAAAGCTACAGTGATTTATTCTTTATTTTTAAAGACAGAGTCTCACTCTGTCACCCCGGCAGGAATGCAGTGGCATAATCATAGCTCATTGCAGCTTCAAACTCCTGGGCTCAAGCAATCCTCCTGTCTCAGCCTCTCAAAATGGTAGGGTTACAGGCTGATATTTTATTTTATATACTGATTTTTTTAAACCAGCCATGAAAATTTAACTCTAAAAACATAAAGACTACCTCAACAAGCCATACTACCATCAAGAAAAAAAAATAGTGTCATTTTTACAGTAAAGCACTGAATGGCATTTTTTAAGTAACATGTGTTTATAGAAAACTGGAAAGCTAAGCCCAAGTAGGCTATGCAGATGTCCCACAGATCACTGTGAGGAACGTCACACACCCCAACACAGGCTGAGAAAAGCAAGCTCAGTGTGCCATTGGAAAAACAACACCATGAATTCTGTGATCAACTAGCATTGCAATCCATATTTTTAATAAAGTCTATTACTCTCATTACTCTCTTCTTTTTCTTTTCTTTTTTCTTTTCTTTTTTTGCAGTTTTTGGCTGGGGCTGGGTTCGAACCCACCATCTCCGGCATATGGGGCAGGCGCCCTACTCCTTTGAGCCACAGGCACCGCCCCTACTGTCTTCTTTTTAATAGAGTAAAAAAATTAAAAATGTACTTTTGTTTTATAACTTAAAATGTTAAATAACTGTTACAACAAAACACATTTGACATAATAATGCTAGGTTAAATGAAATAAAAATAAGATGAAATAAATTTCTATACTTTCTTTAAAAAATAGCTTTACCTTCTCCCCAACTTTATTCAAATTTCTGCCCTCCAGAATTATGAGATAATAAATATATTTTGTTTTAAAAGACTTAAAATTTAAATGGCAAATCATGATATTGTTTTTTTCATCTTGTCTTTTCCTCAGCACATATTGATAAACATACACTATAAAGTTCACAGTTCTTAATCCACGTTAGTCAAAATGTCCATTTTCCATAGAACCATCTATGGTATAAACATAAATCATTAAGCCTATTATTCACCTGCTGAAATAGTCTGCAGTGGCTAAACAGTAGCAAACCACAAAATCATAATAATTATCCTATCATTGAGTTTTCCTGAAGAGATTTTAGACAACTTATCAAATAGAACAGTCACAAACAGTGGATGGTATATAATAAAATTATCCTTAGCCTTAGCTCTCAAATCATTCCTAATCTCTCCCAAACAAATCCATCCCTTCTCTGTAACACTTCTGTGCAAGTTGGGGTGTTTTATTTATTTTGACTTCACTTCACTTTATAATACGTTTAGCCTTCCAGCCAGTATTTCCTTTTCAGCTTCTTTGATATATAACAAACTACTTTTGAATTTGAAGAGACAAAAAGATTTTAAAAGATTCTAGAAAGACCTTTATATTCTTCTTACTATAGAAGAGGAAAGTGAGAAAAGGCTTTATTTCTGTTCTTGTTTTGTTTTGACTTAGTTTAAATTCTTTAATTCATGGTGTACTATACACACGTGTTTAATCCTTCCTAGATCTCAGCCTCCTGACCTGTGGATAAAAATAGGATGCACCTGAGGCTGAGACTAGACCACACTGCAGGGGCCGCACCTGAGGCTGAGACCAGACCACACTGCAGGGGGCGCACCTGAGGCTGAGACCAGACCACACCGCAGGGGCCGCACCTGAGGCT